GAGATGCTGCCTTTGCTTGTCCTGACACCTTAACTCCCCACGTAATCATTTGCCACCTTATTTGTACCCTCTCAAAGACCAGAACCCCTAGGATTTTCTACCATGTGGTCTGCTAACTTGTATCCTGAGAAATTCCCCTATTTACTGGTTTAAAAAACAAGTTCCTTGGACAAAGACTAGGAGGGGAAACAGGAACAGAAAGAAATGAAGTGACCTGTCCAAGATCACGCTGCAAGCCGACAGTAGAGCCAGGACTGGAATACAAGTCCCCTCACCTCACAGCCTTCCTCTATGCTCAATATTGTCCAAGTCCCACCAGTACCAGGAGAGCACTACATCACATCACGCGCAAGAGCAAAGGTGCAGCTGGAATGGGGCTTTCTTCTCCATCCAAACCCTAACAGTTTTGGCACTTGTAAACAAAAGCACTCATCAGTCCAAAATAGAAATTAACAACCTCAGAACTAAGGAGGACTGGGAGAAGTATGTGTTTTCAACTACCATTAACATGAGACGTTGAAATTTTAGTATTACATCTCCAGGAACATTCTAATTTTTAACCAACTCCCTTTCTCCACACCCCAGCACACCCCTCCTTCCACCTCTTATACAAAGACCTAAGGAAAGATTTTGCAAGTGCCATGTTTCAAACACCTGGCCTGCATATTGATGTTTTCTGCATCACACTCATCAACAAGATCACCTCATTCTGAACTTGTTCTTTTTCCCCTCAATGCAAATTTAAATGATTTAGTGGCTCCATCTGCTTTGTCAAAAGTGCCCAGACACCTCAGCTATATTCCTCACTGACTTGCTTTAGGCGTAGCAGCCCAAACGTGAAGTGTGTTACGTTACAGTTTTGCATCGTTACGGAAAAATGCTTGCTGTAAGAACTCAATGGTTCTTTGTATATTGCATTGAATACATATATATTTTAAATAAAAATCTGATGTTTTTCTGAGATTTTAACACCACATTGAATTCTAAGAAGCTTGCAAACTCCAAAGATTGGAGAAAAGGAAGCAAAAGTGGAAAAACAGGCAAGAAATCTCTATTCAGCGAGTTCTTGAAATGTGCATAAACAAATTAAGTATTCAATTTATTCAGCAAAATATGAAAACACATCAAAAGTGTTCCTAGGTAATAAAAGAGCAGATTAAAAAAACAGCAAACGTACATATTTCTTCAGTTACCCACAGTTCAGTATCACATAACTCTCTACTTCTTGTTCGCACATGCCACAGACCTGTGGCCAGGACGCAGGCATCTGAACCCTGACGTGGGGCTTCAGGGAGCCATGGGGCCTCCATGCACCTTGGCTCCCAGCTTGCAAGAGGTGGAAAACAGCACAAGACAAACCTCCATCAAGATAAACCCATGACAGGATGCTTCCATGTGATAAAATACCAATCTTAAAAACACAAGATAGGTGCTTTGAGAAACAAAGTGGCCAAAATGTTATCAAATGGACACGATGGATGGCTCACAAACATGGAGAGCTTGATGTTCATCCAAGCAGACAACTCCTAAGAAGCCACTGCATGTACACTTAAAATCAGGAGCTGAAATTGTCAGAAATTCCTCCAAAAACACTGTGTGAGTTATCAAAATACAAAGACCAGCAAGAGAGCTACAATCAATTTAATTTTTTTAAATTACCTCTGCCATTAAGCTTTCACTACAATTTCCACTTCTATTATGCATCATTTGTTTGGAAGGACAAGGTGGCTATCGTATTTTTTAATCAGAAACTAACAGTTCTGATTCAGAGTGGCTGCCCTTAGTTTTATGTCTATAAACTGTTTCATTCTTTTTATATATATCCATCTGTATATAAAAATTAATAAAATATTTTGACACAATTCTCAGAGCATAACTCAACTAACATTCACACTGGAGCAGCAATATGTCAGTGACTACGGTAGGGCAAACAATTACTCTGAAAGATTTTTGAGGCTACTAATACTAATAAAATTAAAAACTCCAGAATAGATATTTTTGTTTTGCAAGAAATTCCCTTCCTCACAAAGAGAGCACCTTCAAAGTACAGTAACTTAAGCAACATATGGCATTTACATTTTCATCTAGATCTTTAAAGAAGCCCATTATTTCCTTAGATTTGAGCAAAGAACCCTGCTTTATTTCACCACACCAGCCATAAATTATTCATTAATTCTGTTTGCTAACTCTGTAACTGAGCCCAGATGTTTCTGCTGGAGAGGCATTCCATAAGAAAAGTTAAATATAGCAAGCTGTGTGGAGAGAGCAGACCTCTCTCTCTCTCCCCCCACCACAGCATACTCAAATATTACTTGAGAGAAAATAATGAAAACATTGGAAAAATATTCTGAATATGCGAGTCTGTGAAACGCCACAGTCTGATCACAAAATTTCATGTAAAAGAGCCCCCACACATTCCACTTGGGTGTAACTGAAGTTACTGATCCTGTCTCTGGGAAAGGTGCTGGCACTTTCACTCGCCAGAGTAAATGCAGAATTTACAAGCAGAGGAACACTCCTTGCCATGCATCATTTACAAATATAAATCAAGACTTAAGTTTTCAATTACAAGAAACACTTCCGAGCCAGCTACCAATGGCAATAACCATGTTGATGAAGAGCTGAGAGCATCGTATGGAATTTCTTACAGAACTGACACGGAAACTCACTGGTGGGAACTTTAAATCCATTTCAGTGCTTCAGAACTTCAACCATTTCACACTAGCAAAGATGATTAACGCTGATGTTTATAATCCAACACTAAGAGCACAGTCCTGTTGAACAGAATGGAAGCCACCAGCTTCAGCCACCCATTCAGACACAGTTATGGTTTCTAGTACTCTTCAGCAATTGTCTTAAGCTTGTTTGGAAATGCCTATTTTAAGTTAGAAACCATTCCCAATCATTACATAGTTGGAGAACAGTGAAAGACGCAAGGTTGAACACTGCAGAACAGCATTCTTCGGAGTTTGGAGACTATTCTCAGGCATGCAACACTTCTTCAGTTGTGAACAATGATCACAGGAGAGATTTTGAGAGGTCATCTAGTCCCTTTGCTCTGCTCCAAGGCAAGATCAATCCTATTATTTAAACCACTAGTTTCCTAACCTGTTCTTAAAAATTTCCAGTGTAACAGATTCTACAAGATGAATTTCCAGAGGGAGGGTATTTTGGGGAAGCTGTTACAAACTGGCGTGGTAATGACACCACTTCCTTGGTACCACATATCAGCTCCTGTTATCCAAATTTACTGCACTTGCAGAGTAGCAGCTGAGCACCTTGTAGCCAAATCCTGTTGCTCTTGAGCCACCTGTGTCCATAGGAAACTTTGCAAAATATGTTAAGTCTAACCGTATTGTTAACAGAGGCACCTTCCACTAGCTAGCAAACAGGCAAACAAACCTCAGTATATATACTATTAGCCACCTTAGAACACAATAAACTCTGCAGGCTATTCGTAAAAATGTGACTATAGAGAGGACCGAAGTCATAATTTTAGCATGGGAAGGCATACTAGCACTAGCTTTAGTCTCCTCAATGTCAATAATGTTAGGAATAATGGAGTAGTAGCACAGGTCAACAATCTCAGGGCAATAAATAACTATTTTTTTTCCTAGTCCACGCTGCCAGAAATTTTCTTTATTTCTGGTAGTTACTCAAAGTTAGCACAAACAACAGCTACCACAGCATGTCTACCATGGGCAATGACCTCTTCATTTTGCTGCGTAGATAGATCTTAAGAACATCTCACTTCTACTTCAGAGATCAGCTGGAAAGCAGCCAATGAGAAGAAAACCAGAACAAATTTTATTTAAGTTAGTCACCCCAGCAGCAACTTACAATTGAGTCCACCTATATGAGGAAATGTTTCCTCTCCAACTACTAAGGAAGAAAAGAGTTATGCAACGTGAAACCTAGAAACAGGACCCAGTTACAGCACATGTGGGAGATGGAAGATGACAAAGGATCTGGAGGCTCTCACAAAATAAAGACCATATGTTGGAACAGTGGAAAGTCTTCTGTGAAATCTTTGCAGGGGGAGAAGAGGGAGTAGAGCACAGGTGTCAAGTACCAAAAGGAGTCAAAACAGAAGAACAGACTCTCTAAGATATATAAAATATCTATAGACTCTATAAGATCTATAAAAGATAGCCCATCTTGAAAAACCCTTTTCTAATATATGGAGGGAACATTACATCAAAAGAGAGAACTTTTAATCTTCTTTGCACTGCATTAATTTCTAGAGCAAGGCTGAGCGAAAATTTTTTCTGTGGAGCGAAACCAGCACCTGATGTATTTCCTGGTTCATGCATAGTAATAGAAGCTGCAGGAAAGTTTCAATTCAGACAACTAAATTTAGAAAGTGAAACATCAAATCTGATGCACTTTACAAGCAATGTCTTGGCTGCAAATTATACATAACTAAGTACAGCTGTTTGAAGTTTAGATTGTCCTTGTTTAAGCAAAAAACAGGCCCTTATGAAGCTGTCTGTATACCTAAATTTGTGCCTACTGCTCTTTCTCCACAGGTATTGTGTTTGATAACAGGGATAAAACCTTAAGTTAAGAGGTACTCTAACAAGAATTCAGCATGCAGCTCACTTGGTAATTATAAAGAGGTTTATGGGAAAAGAAAGCCATACTTAAGACCTACCTGCCTGTATGACCTGTTACTTAGGCAGAAAAAGAAATGTCACAAGGAAGAATTTTTGGCCTTTAATCTGTACTGATTTCTATTACAGTAATCTACAGCAATTTAAACAACCCAGATCTAAAAAGGTCCTGAGAATCTCCCACTTTTGGGAGTCTTATCTGGCCTGCTCACTTATTGCACACATACAAACTGATTATATTCCAGCAGAATTAGGACCAGATGGGTTTTTGCTGTAAGCTTGATTATTTAAGAAAAGACTTGTTCTTTGTTCCTTTCCCCCCCCCCCCAAAAAAGATAACAAACATATTCAACATCTTAAAAAAAGAAAGAAAAAAAGAATGTTTACTTTGGTTGTGCTAAGCAGCCAGGTGCTATAATATTGCAAGTTTCATCTGTAGTCTGCAGTGCCGTAAGTTCCACCATGTTAACCATCACATCGGTCTTGTGGCCGGGAAGCTTGGGAAGCACAGAAAGTATCTTCTCTGCAAGACTGTCACCATGATGACCAACTGCTCCTAGGGAAAAAGAGACCCCACAACTGTCAGGTACATAACTAGAAGAAGAAAAAAAAAAAAAAAACCAAAAAAAACACAACCGAAAATGAAACCACAAGGAACTGAGAGCAAAATAACCACCACATGTTTTGGGAAGAAGGACACTGGTAGTCACAACATCAAGACCACAATTAGCTTTTCAAAGATACTTTGCTACAAAAGTAAAATTAATTTCTGGAATGTCTGAAGTTAAAAGTATTGATAACATTTCAGAAAGATTCATTTAAAAGGCATAAATTAGACTTAGTTTTACAGCTAGTAGATATTCACTGATTTTGCACTTAAATACACAAAATATTTCTCTTTGCATAAGAAAGTTGTTAGTTAAACAAGATTTGCAATGGTTATTAAAAAAAGCAGGCAAACATTTATATATACATGCACACACACAAACTATACTTTTCTAAACTAACAGGACTGTGCTTAAAGGAGCTGTATGCAGGTTGCATATGTAGCTACCCAGATAGACTGGCATAATATTAAAATAAACAAGTTGAAGGTATTTGTACTCTGCCACTTTAGCTGTGGTTCAGCTATCACCACAGGGCTGGACACCAGTGCTGAGCTGAGTAGTGTTCTCCTGGCTTTACTCACAGGAGAAAGGGGACTTCTGAAGTCGCCTTTGAAAGTCAGGAAGAAGATCTTTTAGGCCATGGTCCCATTCCATCAAAGTCTGTCCACGTGGCTCCCTATCTGTTCTCACTTCTGAACATTTCCAAAGACAGAGGTCTGTTTCAACAGGTGAAGTCAGCTTCACATGCTCCATAAATCCAAACAGGGCCCTTACATCAAGAATATTAATGGGGTCAGATTACTAACTGCTCTTGGATAAGCAAAAGGTTGTCTCCAGCAAGTCTACAGCAGCCATGTATCCATGTTGTGAAACCACCTCATGGTTTATCAACTATTCTGAATTGTAGTAGAAGTCAAAAAGAGAAGCAAGGATGAAAAAGGAGGACAAAAGTAACATCAAACTCTGCACTGGCAATGCCTTTATCCACAGAAGGCAAGGAAGGCACACATGTCCAGCACATGGTGGTACTGCAGTGTGGACACCTGGCCGCTCAGCTGGATTGAGATTACCAATTTGTTTCACCAGAGATTGTAATAGTCACAGAATGACAGCAACTTTCCTTTCTACCATCCCCAGACAGACCACTGAAGTACAGATGAAACAAGCTGGGTTGTCTTTGCAACTCCCTAAGCCATCTGCTCTCCAAAATCCCTACATTTTTCTTAGTAGGTCAGTCACTTGTCAGCCACACTGCAGTTATCAACACTCGCAAAGTTACAGACATGGAAAACAGATGGTAATCTTCTGAACCGCCACTCCCACATACTGGAAGCAATGTCTGTCTCTCCACACTTGCTGCACGCGAGCAACATTTAGCTAGACACGACATTTAGCTAAACTGGAAACACCTCGAATGCAAATAAACCCATGTTAATTATTAACATGCCTCCTTTCTCCTTGGCAGAGGGGGAAAGTCTCAGTGTATTTAAGTTGCTTCCACAATTAGCAAGTGCCATCTCAGTCTCCTTCCCACAACTGCTACTTCTTGGAGGCTCCCACTGGTCCGCAGGCACTAATGGCTTTTGCTCTGCCTCATCAAATCAATCAGAAAAACATATCCCGGAGCTTTTAAAAACCCCTATCACCCCTGACCAACTATGCAAACCAGCCAAGGCTGGGAAGACAGCTAAACCGCATGAGACTAGGACAGAAGATCACAGGGAGTCGCTTCTCAATCACGCTGACTTCAGCAGGGTGCACAGGACCGGTTTCCCGCCTCTCTCCTCACCGCTGTGGAGGACAGTCAACAGGCCGCTCAGCAGCTTCTCATGACCAACAGCGTTCAAGGCAGCTGGTAGCTTTAATGCTGCCAAAAGCGCACACAGATCGGGTGTTAAAGTGACAAGGAAAAGTTGTCCGACGAATGCAAAATAGGAGTCTTCACGCCAGGCAAATACCCAGCCTTGAGGATGCAGGAAATCTTATGTATCACGCTGCTCTAATTTTACGTTGTCTTCTCACTAAGAGTTACAAACTGAAATATGTGACATTTGATACAGGTTGTAGCTGGCACAGTTGGCAAAGTCGACCAACTGATACTTTAACAGCAGCCAGGAACTCATTAACTATATCCCCCCTTCCCCCAAAAAGGCATCAATGACATGCATACAAGAAAATATTTTCCTAAGCCCATTACCTGCCCTATATCACACCATTTGTACTCCAATTCTTATGTTCTCCTACTGGTTCTACTGTCTGGTTCAAAACCAAAACAAGCAAAAAAAAGCAGATTTAAGGGGCAATTGCATATCACAGAAGCAACGTGAGAGCTTGGGCAGCGGGAATACTTTTAAGTCAGTTGCTAAACATGAGGTGCTTGAATTAGAAAGCAGTTCTACAAAGGCATTGCTCACTAGCCAACAACTAATGCAGCTAATTTCTACTGGCTGGTTTTCCTTCAGCCAAAGTTTAAATATAAGTCAGTGTGCACCAAAACAGTATGCAAGGCATGTCTTGCCGCCACTATGAAGCTTTCTTAACACATGCTGTTTTAACTACTTTGTAGATTAGTTCAGGACTGGTGATTTTGGAAAGATACATGGACAAACCCATTCCAGTTTTCATGATGTTTCAACACTGCATGCTCACCCAATGCTTTTCTGAATAAGATCACCGCTAGGAAGACTTTACCCTAAAGGACTCTAGTGGGACAATTCCTACGATGCAACTTTCTCAGGCAATGCATCACCTCAGTGAAAGCAGGGTTTAAAATATCAGGAGGCAGAAATGTTTACACCTATTTCCTTGAAAGAAGCTGGATATTTGGAGCTCCAGTTCCAAAGCTTATCAATGTTTTGCCATATTCTCTCACCCAGCATTAGCTTAAGCTGACCTTGTTAAACAGTGCTAGAAAGCAACCTGTATGTTCCCAGGAACCATTGTGCAGCATTCAAGGCAAACTAGAGCATCCTTCTACCTTGCCAAGAGACAGATCTATGTTCTCCTTTGTACAAACAAATGAACATCAAAGTAGCCAGTTATCTGTCCCACTATGCTGTCTATTGAATCTAAAAACAACAACAACAAAAAAACACCAAAAAAACTCCTCACCAAACACCACAACACCCCCCCCTTCCAAAAAAAAACCAAAAAACCTGTAGCCCAGCAATAGGAGCAAGGAAGCCCACAGCCAAGCACAGCAGCATCAGAGTGCTGCCATAGAAATATGAGATTCCCCATCTCTCACAGCCAGCTATTGCGACATATGTAAAGAGTAGTAAATTTGGAGATAAGATAAGAAACATTTGGAGATAAGAAACACTTAAGCATCTGCTCAAGGCTCATGTAATTTCCAAGCCCCCTGCACTGACCTAGCCACCTGCAGTTTTCTTTACATAGGCAAAACTCATTCCATTTATTTGCTTATCTCTATAAAGCCTCTATAACAAATTCAACATCTGAAGCATTTAAAAATATAGTATAAAAAATTGTGTGCCTATTCCATGATAGCAGAATCTTTACAAACCATACCACAGCAGAGTCCGCACCCTCACCCACAGTACGGAGTTGACGCCTCTTGAATATTTTCAGCTGCCATCACTCCTCACAGCTGCAGTCTACAACCTCAAGTAACCAGAATAATTTAAGCACCAGTTGCCTCCTGTGTCAAAGCCCCAGCCTGGTTCATAAAAAGGGGACTACTGTATCCTACAGGCCTCAGTATTTATGTTTTAAAAGCCTCAGCTTATATAGTAAGGAAGAAAAAAACCCATGGTTTTGTTTCCTTAAAAAGACAGTAGTGTCAGTCCACCAATGCGTCAACTTGGAAGATGCTACAATCAGAAAGAGCGTGAGTAAAGCGCTCCAAATTAGAAACGTGACAGATATAATGAAAGAAATAGACAATTACAAACAATCAGTTTAAAACAAAAAATAATCGAAGAGAGATATTAGTCAGAACCAGACTTTACCAGAAAGGCATGGGCCTACTTTAGTCTTCACTCTCATCCTCCTCTATGAGTGGGATTATGCAGTAGAACAATTAAGGCATGCCGCAACTTTCTTGTTGCTGTGGCTGCTCCCAGGAGCTGAAAGAGAATGGTATCTACACTTCGTCGATGAGAGCCTGAACTGTGCTTTTTGTATCTGTTAAAAGGCTGAAAACATTACAACCAGCTCAAGGGTGTGATGCAAAGACGATGCCTGGCTGACAGTGAGGGAGATGATACAGAAAGTTATACCTGAGTTTGCAGCCTTGGCTGTGGGCAAACATTCCTGTGATTTTGACCGATGCATGCAAAAGTGCTAGAGGAAGATGAAAGTGCTGTTGCTGACAGCACTGAAATATCCAACTTCAACAACACTCACACAAAGGTTATTATTCAAAGCTATACATTAACTGCACAGGAACCCCCCTGCTATTCATTCTTCTGTGTCTTTTGCTCACTGTATTGCATTTCAAAATCACCTGCACATACCAGTGGGTGAGACCTCACTATTCCCTGCACCTACAATGGCCCACATCCTAAATGCTGCAAAGCACCAAGAGACTGGAAAGAGAAACGCATCAAGCTGTTCTGAACACTAATATATCTATGAGCTTACGAGTGAAAAGTCAGAAAAACTGCTTCATAAAAGGTGTGAATGCTGGCAAGGTGGTGACTAAGAAATACAAAAAAGGAGCATGGGGTTACAATACCGTATCACAATGCAAATATTTAGGGGCACATATTTAGAGGAGAAAAACAAAGAGCAATTAAGGTGCCAGCGTTAGCTCTGACTTTAACCAGTGTCACTTACCAGAGCACCACTCTAGCTGGGAGGATTTATTCTGCTTTTTAAAGCAAAGGTAGTGAACTTTAAAACAATAAGTAGGCAAACATAAGCAGCACTACACATACATACAGATTAGGGACAGCACCAGTAACAGTTTTATACAATCAGAATTCAAGAAGCGAGTGCAAAGTACTAAGCCTGGGATCTCCCCAGGCCATAAAAACACGTCCCACCTTCTGGGGCGCTGCTTTATCCATAAGATCCTACACTGCAGGGATAGGCAGTATCCATGCCATCCCCAGTTGAAGCCATGCCACTTCAGTGAGGACAGCAAAAACCATAGAAAGAAGATCCCTGTTACAGCTCAGCTGAATGTTATGCCATACAGAACAAAAAGAATTATTTATCTTAATTCGGTATTTTCCTCTCTATTCATTAAATACAGCATGCATAAGTAATGAACACAAAAATAATTAGGTTATAAAAAGTATTCAGTAGAGCTGAATCCAAATTTTAGAGTAATAGCTCAGAAGAGATTCTTTGTTTCATGGAACCTAGAAAGCTAATCTAGTCAGTTAGATGCCTTCTGATTTTTTGGATAGAAAAATGTGCCATTTTATGTGTGACTTTTTTTTTTTTTAAATAATTGTCACAACAAAGATAATACAGTTTCTTGACACTGGCACCAGAGATTCTTTACCAAAATGTACTTAATACTTCTTTAGTATGTTCTTTAATGTGGAAAGTTCTTAATATTTATTTAAGTACCAGTATTTTTCCTTAGTTCAGCTGTTTGCAACTGCAGCATCAGAAAAGGCACTTCTGAGACATTTTGATTTTTACTGTTAGAAATCAATCATTATTACTGAAAACTATTTGTTATTCTAGACTAACATCTTATTTGCTCTAGATAAGAATGGAGCATGAGCCAAAAATAAGACATTTGTTAGTGCAACTCCTTTAGACATCACCTAGAGCTACCTAAAGCTGTACTCCGTCCAGGTCTTCGAGGTAGAAAATATTTCTCCTGATAGCCTATTCAGAGGGATTCAAAGCCGCCTGGTTCGAAGCACTAGCCTGACTTAATCAGAGAGTAGCCTAGTACTTATCCATAATGAACTTCCAGATTTTTGTGGAAGTGCTTGGAATATGAAAGCATTCTCATAATTCATGGACACATAACTATTTCTCATATCTGCAGCCCACATGTTGGACGTGATTCAGGTATCAATAAGACTTTTACAAATCAAATCCAAAATCTTTCATCTTTAGAGAGGGGAGATTTCAGAAGTTGTTTGAAATGAGCTGCAAATGAGAAAGCGTACCTCAAAGACTTCCACCTGCACCGAGCTGTTACTTGAAAAAAAATTTTTTACACTACTGACTGCAAATACACATCATAGCTTGGAAAAAAAAAAAATCCAGTGGCCCTGTTGCCAATACCAAGCCGGAAACTTGCAGATAGGAAGCTTTAGCTTTTACAAAGTGTAAGACTGAAATTCAACAGACTCATTCACCTGAAGGCCAAACAGTGGAGTCAGAGGTAAGGGGCCAGGGGAGAGAGTATATAAAAGGCTGAATACACCTAAGAAAACTAAGGCTTCAGGTACAACTTATTTCTGCCATTTCCCACTTCTTGACAACTGATTTCACAACTTAAATGCTGTTATTTTCATGTACTTTTTACTGTACAATTTCTAGCAAACCAATGAAAGAAATCTCATTGTGTGGCACTAAATTCAGGTCCATCCAGGTCCATTTACCTCTGAAATGCACTAGATTTTTCTTCCTTCAGTTTGCACTGTACTTGATGGCAAGAGTATGGTATCATGTCCAAAGCATAGGAAGGCTTCAATGAAACTGTCAATGAATTCTGGAGACATTTGTTGGCAACAAAAGAATGGTTGCATGAAGGGATCTTGGTTTCAGTTACAGATACTGAACAGAATATATTAAAAAAAAAAGAATAATTTCTCATCCTTACTCCAAGAGCTTTGATGCATCGCCTCTAAAGCTGCCCCATCACAGCCCTGATGTTTTCTCCAAAAAAAGGTCTCCTACTGAAGTACAAGATTTCACTTCCCAGATTTAAGCTGGTACCAATTATCTCTCTTCATGCCTCCTCAACAGTCTCCTTGTCAGGCAGCTCCCTGTCACCCACAATTTCTGGCTCCCTTTCTTGTTTTTAACTCTTCCCACCACCTGAGTACACGAATCCTTGTCCACTTTCACGGGTGCCCACCCCAAACGGGCACTCCTCTCACAGTTTTATTTCAAGGCTCTTTATCCAAGCCCACTTTTCTGCAGATTTCACAGCGATCTTCCCAATCACAGCATAGCATTAACCACCCAGACCCATAGCTGCTCTTCAGCACATTGTTGACAGTTAGGAACCCTACAGCAGTGCAAGGATACACAAAGCCAAAACTGAGGGGGAAAAAAAGAAGGACAGAAGAAAATTCAGAAACAGATGAGCTGCAGGTGCAACATTGTGCCAAGCACTTGCTATGGGACTTGCAGTGGCAAAATTATGATCCAAATTATTGACTACAGATAATGGAAACAGAACCAGGTCCACACACTGTATACGTGAGCAGGTCTACCGATAATATGATGGGGTAAGCCAATGCAGCCACTCCTATATTATTCTCCGAGTTTACTGTTTCCTCTGAAAGATGGTTATTCCTTAAGCGAGAGGCTGATACAAACGTTTTCTGGGTCACTGGCCCAGCATCTTGCTGGTGA